TGAATCCACCCTTACTAAGTCACCTCCTTTGCTAAGGAAAGGATTCCTGGTCACGCTCTGAAGTGTATAAACACTCGTCTTTATCCATACTTGGCATATCTTCTCCATTTATAGCCTGTGAATTCCCTTTCCTTATTCTGATCCAGTAGTGCTTCTTTCTGCACATAAGGGCTTGACTGAGTTTCTGGAATGTTCTCTTGTTACTCTCCAGCCTGAGCATCCTAAGGTCATGCTTAAACACAACCTCTTCCAAACACTTCTCTATTTCCCTATACAAAAATGTACTCTGCCTTTCTCTGAGCACCTATGACATTTACCTATAATCTCACTCTTGTATTTATCACTTTTTAGCTTGTAATACAGTAATTTCTGCAGAGCACTTAGTGCTTCTGTTACAGGTTGAACCTCCCTAAGATGAAAATCTGAATTCAGAAATGTTACAAAATGTTAAATTTTGAGTGCCAAAAAAAAAAAAATGGAGTACCAACATAAAACTGCAAGTGGAAAATTCTATACCATGAAATTTTGTTTCATGAACAAAATTATTATAAATATTATGATTATGATTTTATACAATATTTAAAGTTGAAAATGTATAAAATTACATTTACATAATGAGGGCCTTATGTGTATAAGGTTTATATGAAAATAAATTAATTTCAGGTTTAGATTTGGGTCCCATCCTCGTTATTCCATTATGCATATACAAATATTCCCAAATCCAATAAAAATCTGAAATCGAAAACACTTCCAATCCCATACATTTTGGATAAGGGATACTCAACCTATACTGCTATAATCTTCAAAAGAACAAGATCTCCATGTTCCCATCTGTATTAGACAGGTTTCCATTGCTGAAATATGCAACTTGAAAAGAAAATGTTTATTTTGGCTTACCAGTGCCACAAGTTTCAGTACAAGGTCAGCTGGCTCCAAGGTAGAAACATGGCAGAGAGCACAGTGGAGGAAAGCCGGGAATTCTCTCACCTCATGGCATGAGAGCATGGGAAAAGCCAGGGTGAAAGAGGTCCGATACCAGATCTAGTCTGTGACTCACACAAACACATGCAGAAGTGTGCTTTACTAATATCCTTGGCATCTCTTAATCCAGTCAAATTGAGAATCAATGTTATCCATCACAACATTGGAACAAGGAGTAGCATTAGGTTACTGAGAAGCTTGCTTCAGACATAAAATTTAAGGAGGCCTCCCAAAAGCAGACGAAATAAATGAAGATAGAATTACTATTTTTCCTTTTACTATCCCATTTTATTTCAGGTATTTTCTTTTGCCTCAGGTCTCCACATTACCTAATACAACGGTGTTATTGAGTCTGTCTTTATTAGAAATGTTGATATTTTACTCATTGTCATTTTCTTTGCATTAATTTTTTCTTTTAATTTTAACATCTTTATTTTGCATTAATTTTAATTCCTTACAATATTGTATTAAGGTGTTAGTTATTTTTATTACGGAGTTGTTGATGCTTGCATCCCTTTCAATAATGCTTCTGAGACAAATACTTCACCTGCCTCTCTCTAGGGCTGGCTCTGATTGCCATAGCAACTAGCAGGGAACTCTGTCTATCTGCATGCACTCAATAGTGCATGAACGAATCCAGCAGAGATTTTAGGTAGTCTTTTTCTTTTTTAAAAGTAAAATGACACTTAATATACCACATAGAACCCTGCATCTTCCATGACATTTAGAAAAAGTTGGAGAAGTTTTAGCAGTCTAAAATGGCCAATCAGCACTATTTCAAGATAATGAAGAGATGGAAATAAAGTGTTTGTAGATGGGGAGCGGAAGAGAGGGTGAAGAGAGGGCGGGGACAAGGGGAAAAATGAGAACCAAGACTTGTCATGTAGAGGTACAAGATCCCAACAATGAATGTAACTGTACTGTATCCCTAAAATGTACCAATAAACTCAAAGCTGAAAAAAAAAACATACAAAAAAATTAATCCTGGGCCTCTTTCACGGTCATAATGGACTGCACCTCAGGTTTGTTTTATTTCATAAGCCCAATAATTCCCAAAATGCTTATAAATTCTGGAGGTAAAGAATCATCTTTCTCCTTCTCCTCCAGTAAATTGCAAGCTGCTACCACTACCACCACCACCACCAGCATCACCATTAACAACAACAACAAATAACCTACTTGGAACCTACTCCCAGAAGCCTGGGAGCGAGGATTCTGCTGACGGGCTTCTGTAGGGAGCCTAGATGCTGGAAGAGCAAGTGTAAGACAGTCCAGTCCACCACTGTGCCACCCAGAGTGACAAAAAATTAAATATTTGCTTCTTTACATTAACTAATGTGTAAACAAGAGTATCATTTCTCAGAGAAAAAAAAAAGAAATATATCACCTAAGTGTTGAATCTGAGATTCACACATGCCCTCAAGATTAGAGAAATGATTCCTCAGTGTATTCATCGATATTTATCTTCAGAAGACAAAAATGACCACTCATAAAATCTTCTCACAAAATCAGTTCTAGAAAATCAAACCTGTAATAACAAAACTATTTGTACACCTTGGTAGAGGGCCCACAAAAATATTTTTGATTTAATTACCGGACTACTATTCAGCAAATAATACTGTTAAAGTGTTTTCTCTGGGTTCGATCCACCGCAATAGTCACTATCCTAAGGGGGAAAATAGGTTTTATTCTGTTATCATTTTTATGATTTATATTTTTGTCCTGTCATAAAATGATTGTTACTGTTTATCTCTCCTCATTCCTTTTAACCTTACTCAGGCACACAAGGCACACAAAGGATGGAGAAGAGGACATCTAACCAATAACTATTAGTAGGTTAATGAATCTGCTCAGTGGATCTGCACTAACCATAGAAGACACACCAGCAAAACTAGTAAAAATTAGCAGATATCCCTTATAAGAAATATAATTAAAGTAGAAAGGCCTATAGCAATGTTTCCATTGTACTCTCTTCATTTAGATTAGAAAGTCAGAGTGTTGTGTAAATTTCAAAGGTCAGGAGGCTGCCAGATGCTGCGGGCCTCCTTGGATGGATTTGCTAAGAGAACTTGTGGCTATGTCAGTCAATAACAGCTTTCCAAAAGCCATAGAGCTTTTTCAGATCTGCACAAGTCTGGATCACAAAACAGGAGGAAAAGTACATAGCTCAGGGTTCTCTTTCTATGAAGGTGAAGACTGTACCACCTGTAATGAAGCACCTTTGTTTTACTTCACGGCCACAGTTACGTAGTCATTGATAATACAATAAATTCTTCAGGAATTATTCACCGGATAAGAAATCAAGTCTTGCCCTTTTATCTTCTAACCATGCCCTGCCTCTTGAGAGAGCAGGGTAAGACCTATTGCACATCTAGAGACTGGTGTTTCCTAGCAAATGTAGGAGATATCAAATTTTTGGAGGTGGGAGTCCATTCCACTGGGAAACATTGTAATGAGTACTTATCTTGGAATGGCTACCTAGCTTCAAATATAGTTTCACGATACCAGCTCAAAAATGACAACAAGCAAATTCTTAATCTCTTATGCCTCTCTGTTCCCTTCACAAAAGAAGACGGAGACGGGGAGGGTGGGAAAGAGAAGAGGGTTAAAAAAAGAATTAAGATGTATTATGCACACATGCCAGCTCCTCACAAGGGATGCAATCATTATGTACTATGGACATGTATTAATAAAAATAAATAATAAAGTTAAAAAACCAGTGTCTACCTCATAGGGTTATACTTTTGAGGTTTATTTGAAATGCAGTCCACACTATAGTGAAGAGAATACAAGGGGAGGTTGTGGGTGGAGTCCTTCTTTCATGGAAAGTTATGGCTTCATGCTTAGGCAAAGGGCCACAACAAAAACTGAGAAGTGTTAGGATCAGAAACTTCAGTGTGAGGGGGTTTAGTAGTCAGGGGCTCATAGGGGAGGAAGGAGAGGTTTCCCTTGGGAAGTAAAGCTGAAGCTCAAAACTTCAGGTTTCTGAGAGTTAGTGGCACTGGAGACAGAGTCCCAGGCAAGTGGTAAAATGAGATTCCAGGACCTGGAGAGAAAAGAAACTTGGGGCTTAGAGGAGGGAGGCCCCTGGCTTGTTAGTAGCAGGATGAGGGGGAAAGATGCTAGCCAGCCAGCAGACCTGACCTCAGCTTGGAGGCACTTCAAAAGGTAATGGGGCACAGTAGAGCCCTCCTGTATTCCCAGGGTTTGGGGAGGCTGAAGCAAGAGCATCACAAGTTTGAGCCCAGATTGGGCAATTTAGCAAACTCCTGTCTTGAAACTAAAGAGAAAAAAAAGAGGTGATGGAGAAACACTGCAGGGGTTCAATTCAGGGAGTGAAATGGTCCAGGGTGAGAGTAGGAGGATCATTCTGGCTGCTCTGTGGGGATCCTGGGAGAAGGCTATTGACTTCACTCATACGTCATCTTCTAATGAGTCTGGTGCACACTTGGATAAGAATGGATAAATTCTTATAACTGGATAAGAACTTGGATAAGTTTGACAAAAACTATAAATTAATGGCTTAATATTCAGCTTATCCTCCCCACCGCTTAAACTGTTATAGCTAGGAACTTTAATCTGGAGTTTGCCCTCCTGGTAAAATCATTCAGAACATACTTAGTTTGGGAAAATTTAGTTTAGAAAGAGAAAGGAACTCCAGGATGAAGTGTAGCTTGTGGATTGTTTACTGATATCTGTTAGCTGCACTAATCTTGACCTATTACCCCTGGGACTGAGGGGCAGGTTGCCTTACTTCACCTTAATGAAGCTTATCATTGCAGGGCCCTAAAACAGCTAGGAATAGCTCCATACCAAGCCCTCTAGCCAAACAATCAGCAAATAAAAATAACTTTAAAGAGTGTTAAGCCCAACTTTATGACTTTCACAGGCACCCAGGACATGGTCTCACAGGTCTAAGACACCACACAAGGTAGCTCAGGACTGCTTGTTAGTTGACCGGTGGGGACCAACTGTGACTCATCTATTTACTACAGAGCAAAGGTAACTTGGGATGCAAAAGTTGACAGCTGTCTCCCGGGAGACCATCAGTACTGGAAATGAGGGCATTGGGCTTCAACTGGAAATGTTTCCCTTGGCACAGACCCAGGCTGGAAGAATGGCGCCCGGTGAGAGGTCACGCCCGAGGATGTGAGTGAATACATGCATGCATTTTGAAGAAATGAGGGCCTCAGAACTTTTTCAAGGCTCTCACTTTATTACCGTACTGAGTAGCTTAGATGTTCCAATCATCATGTATATGTGCTTGTGATTTACAATTAGGATAATCAGTCCAAATAATTTCCTTTTTGGAAAAAGTAAGATTAAGGGCAACAGTAATGTTATATTCATGGTAGTCACATTGGTATTCTTTATTAACAGTATGTTATTTTCCAAAAGCAGTGTATATGTCACCTGGGAAGCTTTAAAATGCTAAGACCTAGGAACACTTTCCAAAGACCCTGTCTTAATTTATCTGGGAGGGGCCAAGATAGTAGCATTTTAGGTCCCTCCTCAGTAAATTCTGATGTAGAGAACCATAGTTTCATTATCCCTATAAGCTGCAAAGGAAGGATTTTTATCTTTATTGTATAGATGACAAACACAGGGCCCAGTGAGAAAAAACAACTTGCCTAAGAGGAAGGCCGGGAATTTTAGCCTTCAGTCTGTCTGGCCATCAGCCCCTGCTCCCAAGTTGCTTCACATACTGTTCAGTGAATTCTTGGGCAAAGTGTAAACAGGAAGAGCCTACAGGGAAGCAAAGGAATCCCAGGGAGTAGTAGTCCATAGGGACCTGGCAACAAGGTAAGCAGGAGCCTGAGCTGGCTGTGCAGTGCAGAGGTAGCCTGCAGGAGAGGATTTGCAAAGATTAGCCCAAGTGTGAGAACAACCAGCTCCATGGCTGCAGGAGCTCCTGGCTTACCTTCAAGCCCTGGGCTGGCACAGACAAGATACCTGGCAGAAGGTCAAATGATGCATGGCCAGGCAAGGGCAGGTAGCCTCCCGCTACTTAGTTGTCCTTTGTGTTATTACATTGCTGCAGAAAGAGGAACCTCCTTTCACGGATCTTCTTCTCTCCCTGTGTTGTATCATCTCATGGCAATCACCAGATTTCCCAGGCTTCCTCTACCTCTACCTATACTGCTGAAATATGGGGTTCACCTATGAAGGCCACACAGGTTAATGTACTATGGAACGTCAAACAAGCATCCTTGGATTCTCATTTTTCCCAACCACCATAACTACCTGAAATAAGTATTGTCACAGGGGATCCTGAAGCCTTTGCCTTCCTTTCCCCATGCTGGGAATCCAGGAGCAAAGTACCCTCAGCTCTCAGCCTCTGAGAATGAAAACATTGGCACAAGTCAAGGCCCTGACCTCTTCCTTTCAATCCCCCTACTTTATAGACAAAAGCGACTCTCCCATGGCATTCCTGGCCTCATCGCTGAAAAAGGTAGTGAAAGAATCAATTTATAAGAAATGAGGAGAGGTAAGGATAAATTTCAGCAGTCTGGGGTGGAATTGTCTAGTTCTCTCTTTACTTCAAGTGGAAACCCTCCCCTTGTATTTCCCATGAAGGCTTGGACTGTGTATAGTCATTCATTTATTCATGCAATACTTCAGGGTATATAGCCCTAGGGATTCCTGGAGGAGTGGGGCTGTTTCTGACCTTTAATGCCTCACAGGTCAAAAATTGTCTAAAGAAGATACCCACTATCACCACTCCTGTTCAATATAGTTCTGGAAACATTGGCTACAGCAATTAAATAAGACAAAAGAAATAAAAAGCAATAGACAGGAAAAGAAGAAGTGAAATTGTCATTATTTGTTGATGATATGATACTCTACATAGAAGACCCAAAAAACTCTGCCAAAAGACTTCTAGACTTAATTGACAGATTTAGTAAAGTAGCTAGATAGAAGGTAAACACTAAAAAATCAATAGCCTTCTTTTACACAACAGATTCATTGAGAGAGAAGTTAGGAAAACATCCCTTTCACAATAGCATCCCCAAAATGAAATATCTAGGAATCAATCTAACAAAGGAAGCAAAATACCTTTACATTAAGAACTATAACACTCTGAAAAAAAGAGATCAAAGAGGATGGAAGAAAATGTAAAGACATCCCTTGTTACTGGGTAGGGAGAATCAATATAGTGAAAATGGCCATACTTTCACAACTGCTATACAGATTCAATGAAATCCCTATTGAAATCCTAACAGTATATTTCACAGAACTAGAGAAAACAATCCAAAACTTCATTTGGAATCAGAAGAGACCTAGAATAGCAAAAGCCATTCTAGGCAACAGAGTCATGGCAGGGGGTATCATAATCCCCAACTTTAAACTATACTACAAAGCCACTGTGTTAAAACAGTATGGTACTGGCAAAGAAATAGACCTGAGGATCAGTGGAATTGATTAGAAGATGCAGAAACAACTCTAGACATATTCAGCCACCTCATTCTTGACAAAGGAGCCAACCATCCTCAGTGGAGGAAAGATAGTCTCTTTAATAAATGGTGCTGGAATAATTGGATTTCAACTTGCCAGAGATTAAAACTAGATCCTTGTCTTTCACCATGCACTAAACTAAAATCCATGTGGATTAAAGATCTAAATATTAGAACAGAAGCACTAAACTTGTTGGAAGACAAGTTAGGTAGAACTCTTGAAGACAATGGCATAAAAAAACTTTATGAACAAATCCTCAGGAGCACGGGAGCTAGCACAAAGAATCAACAAGTGGTATCTCGTCTTTTTATTTTTATTTTTTTGGTACTGGGGATCTAACTTGGGATCTTGTGCTTGTGAAGCAGGAGATAGCACAACTGAACTAAATCCCTGACCCTTCATCTTTTTAAAAAACTTCTATACTACAAGAGAAACTACCAACAGAGCAAAGAGACAATCTACAATGTGAGAAGAAAAATTTTTACCAACTGTTCCTCAGAAAAAAGTCTACTATCTAGAATACATAAAGAACTCAAGAAAGTCATGGCTTCCGAATATAAAGACCCAGTTCAAAGATGGGCAACTGAAATGAACAAAGATGTAAAAGCAGCAAATAAATATATGAAAAAAAGTGTTCAACATCACTGATCATTTGAGAGATACAGATCAAAACAACACTGAGATTCCACCTCACCTCAGAAAGAATGGATGCTATCAAGAAATCAACCAATAAGTAATGCTGGCAGGGTATAGGGAGAAAGGAACTGTTCTTCACCATTGGTGAGAGTGCAGACTGGTGCAACCACTGTGGAAATCAACATGGGGATATCTCAAAGAACTAGGATTAGAAGTCCCACTTGACTCAGCTGTTCTTCTGCTGGATATCTTCTCAAAAGAATTAAAAGAATCATACCACAGAGATATATGCTCACCCATGTTTAAAGTGCGCAGTTTGTACTAGCTAAAACTTGGAAACAGCCCAATTGCCCATCGACTGGAAACTGGATAAAGAAGATGTGTGTGTGTGTGTGTGTGTGTGTGTGTGTGTGTGTGCATTTTTTTAGTAAAATGGAGTACTACTCAGCCATAAAGAATGAGAGACTAGAGACATTTATAGCTAAATGGATGCACATTGAGGTCATATAATAGGACCCACATGTGTAAATACCATATAGTTTCTCTGGTGTGACAAACTAAAAGTGTAAATAAGGATCAAATGTATAATTGATATTGTGTAATAGGAAGAAAAGGTCTAAAGGTATAGAGGAAGTGGTAGGGGTAGGGGAAAGGTTAGAAGAGAAAAGAAAAAATAAGAGAAAAAGAAAAATTGGAAACAAAGTCTTTGTAAATAAGGAAGCGTGGACAGGGTAAAGGGAGGGTAGGCATATGGGGAAAAAAATAAGAAAAAAGATACGTCTTATAAAGATACACGATCCCAGTGATCAATGTAACTGCATTGTATACCTAAAATGTCTAAAGGAGAGACGCTATCTAACATCAAGTGCATTGAATGAGGAAAGAACTAGCACAGTTGGAATACAAAGAGTGGCCATCAATCAAAGAGGATAAAGAAAGTAGGCTTCTTAGAGGGCCAATTCCTGACTCCAACTGCAGGAATCTGAGAGGTGAGAGTACGGATATGGCTTTGTGAATGAAAGGGGCAGCTTCAGCATAGGCACAGGCTTCTGTCCCTTGCTTCAACAAAGAGGTGTTCTTTGTTGAAAGGTCAGCCTGGCTGGGCTCAGAAACTTTTCCTTCTCTAGATGTTAGAGACGTGTATTTCCTATATAATCAGGGCAAAGGGCTCAGTCTGAGTGCGACAACACTCCTAATTCATTTTTTTTCAATAGAAACATACAATTCCAAAGGCCTGCCAGCCACATCAAAGAGCTTCTCCCAAGAAGGCATAAGCCAGGAGAGGAAGCTCCAGAGTGGGAGGAGAGTGATATTTTGAACCAAAAAACAAGAGTCAAATGAGGCCAACAATGCGCAAAGCTCGGGCACAGCATAAAGTGTACTTCCCTTTGGTAAGCATTTTGTTTCATAATATTAAATGTCCTAACTGGGCAAACAGATTCTTGGAGTGAGCTGTAGCTGGATGTCAGCCCTGGCTCTATTTCAGCCCAAGTAGGATCTTAGACTACTTGCTGCAAATATCTTTATACACAAAAAGTTTGAAGGACATCTTCAGATCCACTTTGATGGTGGAAATTAGACGAGATACTAGCAGAAGAGCACTTATGGCTTGGCACAGAAAGGCTTTTTGGCAAATGGTATTTGAGCTTTGTGGTTTCCTTGAGTACTGTACTTAGTCTAAAAAGAGTAATGTTAAGGCTAAGTCCTCATGTGACCCAGTTCATAAATGGGACTCTTCTCAGAAATGTCTATGTGAGCCTCAGTTTTGGGGGAAGTCAACATAAACCAATTACTACTACTACTTAAAAAAAAGGGAGCTACAATCTCATGCTATACTGAGAGCTACTCTACAATGCATTTAATTTCAAAATGTGGGATCAACATGGGATCAAGATGCTAACATCTCTTCTGTAGTTTCTGTGAAGTGAAAAACTCCCAAGAACACAGAAGGAAAGCCTCAAGTGTATGAACAGTATTCACTCTGCAGCTTTCTTATCTTTCTTATATTTTCTTGACTTGGGATTCTCTAATTTCCCTCTAGTTACAATATGTATTTCTAGAACTGTGAAAACTTTGCTTCTATTGTACTTAGTTAACAAAATGTTCCTTTCACTCTTCCCCTTAATTCTAGCTCCATTATGGGCCAATTTATGAGGAGTTTTTCAAGAAGTCCTGGACACAGGTTCAAGGAATCATTTTCTTCCTACCAGCAGAAAGCACAGCTGGGCAGAAGTGTAAATCAGTACAGTAAATGGGCATTGAAATCTCAAAGGGAAACCATCTCCATGTGGGATACAGAAGACACTCCACTTGCTTTTTTTAGTCCCACTGTGTTACAGAGCATAAACCATAATTAGGTCCAAGGTTTTCTCCAGTGCCCTCTTGATTTTGTGGGGGAAGGGTGGAGTGTTAGAGTATTAGCTTCTTGTGTCTGCTATAACTGCAAATCGGGTGGCTTAAAAACAAAACAACAGAAATCCAGTACCTCACAATTCTGGAGGCCTTAAATTCAAAAGCAAGGCCACTCTGAAGAGGCTGGTGAGGAACTTTCATGTCTCTTTTCAGCTTCTGGTATCCTTTGGCTTTTATGTGTCTCTCAATCTCTGCTTCCATCTTCACATGACCCTTTCCTTATGTGTTTGTCTCTATGAATTTCCTTCTTCTTATAAGTATACCTGTCATGGACTGGGCTGACCTCTCATCTAATGTAATCCCATTTTAACAAGATTATATCTGTTAATTCAAATAAGGTCAAATATCTGGAATTAGGAGTTCAGTGTATCTTTTCAAGGGACACAACCCATTAGAGTCAGTGTTTCTCCAAGAAACTTTCCATCTATGTTGTCCTTCCAACCTCAAAAAAATGGCTGGAGAGTATAAGATCCAGGTAGGTTTCCCTGGCCCTCTTGACCAGTGGAAGGTTAACTATTTGAACTGTTTCCAGGAAAGAAGCATTCTAAAAACAAACTTTTTAGGAGAGATTTCTTCATGTAAGCTGCAGATACTTCTTACTGGATCTGTTTCTAGCCCCTCACAAGAAAGCCCCCTTTCAAATGACCTAACCTTCACCCCCAGACATGTCTACTCTTTCCCCAAAGCAGGTGATCCATCTTTGACTTTTTTCTGCATCTGAAATACCCCAATGTATTCCTCCTGATGCTCTTCAGTCAGATGCTTTTCTGTTCAGTTTACACTGCAGTCAGGGAGGAAGGTAGGGACTTGGAGACTGGTACAATCTCCGTGTCTGCCGAGACATCCATGGCCAGAGCTTTCATGAAATCTGTCTTAGTTACTTTTCTCATTGTTAAGATAAAATACCCAACACCCAAAATTAAAGGAGGAAAGGTTTATTGTAGCTCACAGTTTGTAGAGGTTTCAGTCCATAGTTGGCTGGCTCCAAGGCAAGGTGGTTTGACAGAGGGGCATCACAGAGGAGAAACACTTCATCATGGGCAGAAGGCAAGGAAGTAGCAAAGAAGCAGCAAGTGATGATAGCAGCCCTCTTTCTGTCCTTTATATTCTATCCAGGCTACACGCACTTAGGGTAGGTAGCACTCAAACCCAGGGTGGACTTTCCCATTATCCACACCCAGAACTATGCCAAACTAATCAGTGGACTAATTTAGTAATCACACATGCTTAATTCCAGCATCACACTCTAGGTTCAGCCACCTCTGAAAGTCCTCACCTATGAACACATAAGGCTGTGAGGGGACATCTTGACACAAGTCATAACAACATCATTTTATATCTCTATGAACATGGTCTTCACCTTGCTTAATTTGGAACAATATATTCAGTAATGTTATAAAGACTTTGCTTCTCTCTGACTGTGCCAAGCCTATTTACTGTACAAGAAAAATCATTTAGGTTGATATAGTTATGCTTTTTTGAGTCCTGAGTGGAACAGAACTAGTTTTGATGTCATTTCATATTCTTATAACACATACTACTATGTCCTGAATCTCTATTTGATGGGGAGGGCGTTACCAATTCATTCCCTCAACAACAGTTTTTAAAATAAACTCTCAGAATTTTATTATCTGTTTTTGCTTTTAAACAGATTTTTAATAGTCAGCAAAAGTTTAAAAAAATATTTAAGCACTTATGGTCTTCCATATAATGGTATCAGGAAGAATCTAGAACAAGCAGAAGTTACCGAAATACTTTAGAAGAGAAGGCTTGAATGCAAATCCCTTCTGTTCCATTCCACTGCTGCCATCTGAAGCCAGGGTCTATCAGCTCATTCCAGGACTGCTGTATGAAGTCAGCCTTGTCTTTGGCCTCTAGCCTCTTTTTCCTATAGTCTGTGCCACTCACATAGCTATCTCAGTCATCACGTGATGTGCCTGCTCAACATTTTCTAATAGCTCCTCACTGATAGAAGGTAAATGTTGTCCTCATCGACCAGACGTTACTCATTGTCTCACTGTCCAGTAATAGCACCAACATAGCTTCCTTTGTTCTCAGGTATGGCTCCCTCTACCTTCCCCCTTGCAGGAATCATTTCACTCTGCCTTGATATCTGTCCAAATCCAGCCCATGTCATCTTCCTGCCATGACTGGAAGTATAGTCTCTGCTTTTATACACACCTGCCCATCTAGTTTGATGAGCAATCATTGTTCCACTTCTCTTTATCCATATGTGGAAACAGATCAGTAAAATAACCCTGAGCAAGATGGAGCCCTTGTCCCTACGTCTACTTTTTGTTGGCATCTCCAATTCCTTCAGCTATTGCTCTCTTTGTCACAATACATGTCAATTTCTGTATAATTTTGTTTCCCTTGTCGTTTATTCATGCTCCACACAAACTTCCCTAAGCATGCAAGGAGACTGGAACTCTGATGTTTACTGTGCATATACTAAGGGCTTTGTGTGGACATCCTTAAATTTATGAACAAACCCTTTGGGAGATGTTTCAGTCCAAACCTTCAAATGAGAGAATAGAAGCTCAGGGAGGGTTAATGACTTTCCCTGGGATAATTTAATACCAGATAAAGAGAAAAAGTAGTGCCAAAGAGAAAAAAGTAGTTGTGGCTGGAGCTTATTAGAACAGGCTTCACAGATGCAGTGGCTGTGAGCCAGACCTTGGCCGAGTGGGCAGGAGGAAAGTACTCTGTGTGAGAAGCATCACAAAGATCTCAGACGCAACATGACAATGTAAGCATTTATGGCTTCCAGAGATTTTTCTCAATTTCAAGAATGCAGCACTAGAGTTAATTGCCCAATGTTGGGCACACAAACACTGAAATGTGCTAGACTGGACAAAGTTCAGAAGTAAGTGAACATTATGGCATCAGGTTAAAAACAGAATAATTGCTGACCAAGAAACAGAGACTTTACATTTTAACTGCAGGTCAAAAGAGGAATCTGAACATGAGGTAGCTGAAACTGGGGAAATACACAATCCCAGATGGTTTTGCACAGGGGGGATAAAAATGAAAGAGCCATTGTGGGTTCATCAGTGGTGACAAATGTTCTACTGGGCAGGGTGGGGGAGACTTCTCTACTTTCTGCTCACATTTGCTTTGAATTTACAACGAGTCTTAAATATAAAGTATACTTAAGAATAAATTAAAAAATTTAAAAATTAAATGGATGAGCCAAGGTGCCAAATCTATCTGCTGTGGGATGAAGGGAGTATATTCCCCTCTTTAGAAATGTTGGAGCACACCTGCCCTGTTCAGCTAATGCACTTTGTTGTGATTTATTTTTCCAGTCTGTCACTAAAGAGAGGCTTCTGAACATTGAAGACCTCAAAAAGCAAAACATAGAATATAAAAAGGACAGAGGAAAATGAAAAGGAAGTGTAGAATAATACTCTACATATGGAAAACTAAAAAGTTGGCGGTTTGTACATTTGCAAAAGCATAATTGTGTATCCTGAAAGAGTTTTACAGAATATGGTGTCTTTGGGAATTATTAACCTCTCTCATTTTCTATTATCTCTTCTCTAAAACTAGGATAATAATACCTGTTACACATGGTTATAACAATTAGATTGGGCCAAGTATATTAAATGCTTATACTCAGAGCCTATATCTACAAATTAAAATATTTATTGAATGCCTATTGTGAGCAACATACCAAGGATTCAGTGGTGAGCAAAACAAATAACTGCTAGCTCACTTAGATTTTAATATATGGTAGAGACAGATGTAAACAAAGAAAATAAAAATAATTAATTGAAAACTGTGGAGAATTCTAGAAAAACATCAAAGGACCATGAGAAAATAGCAAGGCCTTTGAGTAAATGATAAGTAAATAGTATCTATTCAAAGACAGATAGTTTGGAACTATGATTGATTAGCTCTTATCAGAAAAATTTTTTTCCTTAAAGAATAATTGGTAAAAGTGGATAATATATTTTTTAAAATAAATCTGATTGAAGGAACATAACAGCTACCCAGTCAACAGGGGATTGTAGACAAGATTCCAAGAGAGGATAAGTAAGAAGAGATAAGGTCAAAATGCAGTTCTACTTTTCCTTGACTCATTCAGCAACTCATATGCAGAGATTGTTTTTAGCTATCATGATATAAAATTGAAGTTTAACAATTGATAAGCTTAAGGAGCACTGAAAATACCCTACAACAGTGGTCCCTAATTTTGGGGGAACCAGGGACTGATTTCATGGAAGACAATTTCTCCTTTGATGGAGGTAGGGCGGTAGCATGATTTAAACGAGTGTGCAACCTAGATCCCTTGCTTGCACAGCTCACTGTAGGGTTCACACCCCTAAGAGAATCTAATGAGACCACTGATCTGACAGGAGGTATGTGAGTGATGGAGAGCAACTGTCATGCACTAGCCCAGTACTCACTTCCAGCTGTGTGGCCTACTTCCTAACAGGCCATGGGTCAGGAACTCCTGCCCTAGGCTTTCAACTGGAAACCCTCAGAGGTAATACTTTAAGCATAAAGCTCTCATAAAAACTAAAACAATTCAAGTTTAGTTGGATTCAGGTGATTGCCTAGTTTAATTGCCTGGCATTATCTTGTATGAAAAAACATCATCCAGAGCCTCAAAGATTTTTCTAAGTTTTCATAGACTAAATCATTTGTTTTAGAAAATTCTAGTTTGCCAAGAGCTAAGCCAAATGACCAGAAGTCATTTAAAGACAACAGAAACAGACCCATAGAGGATACAGATACTAGTTATAAGACACAGACTTTAATTCCTATAAAATTTGTTCATTAAAGTTGATAACAAGATGGAGAATTTGAATACAAAACTGAAATTCTTAAAAAATAATGAGAAAACTCTAGAATTAAAACATACAATAGATTAAATTTAAAACTAAATAAATGAATTAGGACCATGTTGAATATAGC